GGGAAACTCCGTCTAAAAAAAAAAAAAAAAAAAAAAGCCAAACTTGGCCAGGCGCGGTGGCTCAGGCCAGTAATCCCCAGCACTTTGGGAGTCTGAGGCGTGTGGATCAGGTGAGGTCAGGAGTTTGAGACCACCCTGGCCAACCTGGAGAAACCCCATCTCTACTAAAAATTTGTCAGGCATGGTAGCACCTACCTGTAGATTCAGCTGTTCAGAAGGTGAGGCAGGAGAATCACTTGAACTGGGAGACAAAGGTTGCAGTGAACCCAGATCAGGCCACTGCACTCCAGCCTGGGTGACAGAGCAAGACTCTGTCTCAAAAAAAAAAAAAGCATTGCTAGATTGGGTTCTGCCATTTTTGAGAATTTCACAGGTATTTTCTGGGCCTTGAAGTTTGTTTTGGATTTTTTGCTTGTTGGTACGTTTTAGAGATGGGGTCTCACCTGGGCTGGAGTGCAGTGGCGTGATCACGGCTTATTGCAGCCTCCAACTCCTGGCCCGCAATAGCTAGGACCACAGGTGCTGGCAACCACGCACTGCTATTTATTTATTTATTTATTTATTTAAAAGATGGGTTTTCACCATGTTGGTCAGGCTGGTCTTGAACTCCTGACCTCAGGTGATCCGCCCACCTTGGCCTCCAACGTGCTTGGATTACAGGCGTGAGCCACCATGCCCGGCCTATTTATTTTCTTAATAGAGTCTGGGTCTTACTTCGTTACCCAGGCTGATCTCCAACTCCTGGCCTCAAGCCATCCTGTGGCCTTGCCCTCCCAAAATGTTAGGATTACTGGTGGTGATCCACCACACCCCGCCACCTTAAAGTTTTAATAACCTGAGGTAATCGTCATAGAAACTTAAGCGCTTTTGCTGTGCCCAGCAAGCAGCCCACACTGGTGATCCCATCACTTTGGGAGGCCAAGGGTGGGAGGATAGCTTGAGGCCAGGAGTTTGAGACAAGCCTGGGCAACATAGCAAGACCCCCATCTCTCCAAAAAATTTTAAAATTAACCAGAGGTGGTGGTGCACATCTGTGGTCCTAGGTACTCAGGAGGCTGAGGTGGGAGGATTGCTTGAGCCCAGGAGGTAAGTGAGCCAAGATCCTGCCACTGCACTTCAGCCTGGGTGATAGAGGGAGACCCTGTCTCAAAAGAGAAAAAAGAAATTTAAGCACTTGAAATGTGTCCTCATGTGCTTTAAGTCATCACTGATAAGGCCTTTTCATTTATTGTTGGCTTGGGCCTTGCCATTTACAGAAATAATGTGGTCACTATAGTGATTTGCTCATTTTACCTATTGCCCTTTGTAGATTCTCGGGATTTGAAGATGGCTGCACAGTCAGCGCCGAAAGTTGTGCTAAAAAGCACCACCAAGATGTCTCTAAATGAGCGGTGAGGCAGCCAACAGCAACTTCAGCTCCTTCCTAAGAAAACATTACTTAACTTGGCCCTGGGGTCCAATGCACAAAGCCAGTTGTAAGCTAAATACCAACAGAAGGCTACAGACCTCTGTTCTTAGTTGCGTCTTATGTGGTACACAAAACAAATTGGGCGGTTGTTTCAAAACCCCTTATCAGTACACTTTTATGTTAAGCTGTCTGAAATATTTATTTGGTGGGATGTATTTTAAAAGACTCCTAACACCCTCCCTTTTCACATTTTTTTACATTGATACAGGGGTCGTGCAGCACGGTAGCATGGTACCCTGGCTACAGTCAGCTTGCTGCCCAGTCCAAGGCCAGCAGTGTTGTTTCTGGCCTGTAAGAGGCAGGTAGCAAGCCATGAATATGTCCAAAGGCCCTTGAATGTCATTCTTGGGCCTTGTAAGAGGCACTTGCTTTGCTCCATTTCACTTTCTTTTCCATTCTGCTTTTAGTTTGTTTTTGTTTTGGATTCTTTTACAGTTAAGTGTTCTTCTCTTCCATTTCATTACACTGCCTTGACAGAAATAATAAGGAGTGTCTTCACAGGCTCATAAATGAACTAGTTTACCTTTCAGAAGTAACTACTTGAGTCAGAAAAAGTGATGATTTGAGACTAATGAAAGTAAAGCTATTTAAAGGCTGTTTCTATCTCTGACAACTTTATTCATTAAGAGTGCCTTTGACCAGTGATTTCATTAAGTCGACTTTAGACCGTTGAGATTTACTTAATGTCTATTTTTGCCTCTTCTGAAGCATATGTACTTCTCTCCTTACTCTTCGGCTACGATGAACTAATTATTTTTGTTTGCATGTTACTACGTGATAAATACTTTAAAATGTGATACACTCCTGTAATTTATGAGAGTATGTTAATTGCTGTGAGCTTTGAAGGTGCTCCAGTCTGTCCTCATATTTGGCCTTGGAATGCACCTAATGCACCTTTGATTCCCCTAAGGTTTAGGGTTTCTTCGTTTGTCTTTGAAACTACATCTTCTGTCTCTTGTCATTATATCTGCTTATTGCGTGTTTTTCATACCTTCAACCTCTCTAAAAGCCGTTACCTGAGCCCTTGTTATCACTTTTGGTTGAATGTGCTGCACTTAGCTGCATTTCTAAGTTTCTGATTCTTGCAAGTTTGTGGAAACAGAGGAGTCTTTAACCCACATCAGCCTTGATCTAAGTGTACCACTTTACTTAAAAGTTCGTGGGATCTGAAGCTCCTGGTCTAGCAAGCCATGAAAATGCCAATAAATGTTTGTAATAAAGCTTTTATTTAAACATCCATTTTGTTCGACCTTGAAGCTTTACTAATATGCTGAAGAACAAACAGCCGACGCCAGTGAATATTCGGGCTTCGATGCAGCAACAACAGCAGCTAGCCAGTGCCAGAAACAGAAGACTGGCCCAGCAGATGGAGAATAGACCCTCTGTCCAGGCAGCATTAAAACTTAAGCAGGTGAGAGAATGGGTCATAATGCTCCAGAAGCAGCTGGTGATCTCGATCAGGGAGTCTACTGAGGCTGTCAGGACGTGATGGATGATTACAAGGTGGCTCAGGGCAAAAGCTGAAACTTCTCTGGAAGAAAGAGAAGTTCAGAGAATTCCAATTTTAGCAGGTACCAATAAGTAACTTTTTGCTGTCTTTCTCTTTTAGGGAATTTGCCATCTCTGTGGCCTGGTTCTGTTACCAATGAGTATTAATCATTTGTTTTCTGATCCTTAACCCTTAACATTGATTAATGGCTTATTCCACAAAGAAACTTTATTTCAAGTCCAGGTGCTGTGGCTCACACCTGTAATCCCAACATCTTGGGAGGCCAAAGCAGGTAGATCACTTGAGCTGAGGAGTTTGAGACCATTCTGGCCAACATGGTGAAACCCATCTCCACTAAAAATACAAAAATTGGCTGGGCGTGGTGGCACACATCTCTAGTCCCAGCTACTAGGGCGGCTGAGGTACAAGAATTGTTTGATCCCGAGAGGCAGAGGTTGCAGTGAGCTGAGATCACACCACTGCACTCCAGCCTGGGCAACAAAGCAAGACTGTCTCAAAAAAAAGCACACAGAAACTTTATTTCAGCTTTAGATAATCTCACAGCATCCTTTACTCTGATAAATTATTTACCCATCAGAGAAATAATTTTATTCTTTTTCCCTAGTGCAGGGAGTTTGCATGACCTTAGTCAAAGGTGTTTAATGGTAAAATATACAGAGTAGAATGTCCCTCATTTCCACAGCACCTAAAGTTCTACCAGTAAAGTGGAGCAAGAGTACTGAGTAATTTGAGTTGGGGGTTCTTTTTCAAATTTACAGTGGGAGATAATTCTATTCAGACCTGAAATAAAACCTACTCTTTATTATCCATAGAATTTGTATTCAAGTCCGGACAGTGGCTATGGAAGGATATGTCCAAGCTGTGGCTGGGCGTCTGGAGGGCGGTGCCATGCAACTGTAAGGGCTTTGGTAGCAATTGCATGGCTGTGCATAAGTTCAGCAGTTAAATATAACACCCTTACACCCCCACCCTGAACCGTTGGGCTCACTGACCAAAAATAAACAAGGCTTTCTGCTTCAGCTACCTTAAGCCTTGGAATGATTGGATTCCTCCCTGACTCAGGAAAGCAGCAAACAGCGCCACCATTTTCCAAGAGTAATTGGAAATTGCTGAAGATGAGTCTTTGACAGATCATTCCAAGGACCTTTCAACAAGAACCTTTAAGTATAGGCTCTGCAGGAAGTAGCCTCTATCCAGAGTAATACTGTTCAATAGAACTTTTTTTTTTTTTTTTTTTTTTTTTTTTTTTTTTTTTTTTTTTTTTTTTTTTTTTTTTTTTTTTTTTTGAGATGGAGTCTTACTCTCTTACCCAGGCCATAGTGCACTGGTGCAATCTCAGCTCACCGAAGCCTCCACCTCCCAGGTTCAGGCAATTATCCTGCCTCGGCCTCCCAAGTAGCTGAGATTACAGGCACCCATCAACATGCCCAGCTAATTTTTGTATTTTAGTAGAGACAGGGTTTGCCATGTTGGCTAGGCTGGTCTTGAGCTCCTGACCTCAAGTTTTATCTGCCTGCCTTGGCCTCCCAAAGTGCTGGGATTACAGGTATGAGTCACCGTGCCCGGCCAGAACATTCTACAACAGTGGAAATATTCTGGATCTGCTATCCAGTACAGTAGCCTCTAGCCACATGTGGCTGTTGAAAATTTTAAATATGACTAGTGCAATTAAGGAGCTTAATTTTTTTTTAATTTTAGGCCAGGCCTGTAATCTCAGCACTTTGGGAGGTGGAGGCAGGTGGGTTACTTGAGGTCGAGCATTTGAGACCAGCCTGGCCAACACAGTAAACTACTAAAAAAAAAAAAAAAAAAAAAAAAAAAAAATTAGCATGGTTGCACGCACCTGTAATCCCAGCTACTCAGAAGGCTAAAGTAGGAGAATCTCTTGAACCTAGGAAGTGTACGTTGCGGTGAGCAGAGATTGCACCACTGCACTCCAGCTTGGGCAACAGAGTAAGACTCCATCTCAAAAATAAAGAAAATTTACTTTTAATTTGGGCTGGGTGTGGTGGCTTATACCTGTAATCCCCTCCCACCTGCCTTTGGGAGGCCAAGGCAGGTGGATCACCTGAGGTCAGGAATTCCAGACCACCTGGGCAACATGGTGGAAACCTGTCTCTACAAAAATAAGCTGGACATGGTGGTAGCACCTGTAATCACAGCTACTCGGGAGGCTAAGGCAGGAGAGTTGCTTGAACCTGGGAGTGAGGGTGCAGTGAGCCAATACAGAATCACTGCACTCCATCCTGGATGACACAGCAAGACTGTCTCATTTAATTTAAATAGTCAGATGTAGCTAGAGGCTGCCTTATACAGCACAACTCTAGAGTGAAAACAATCACATAGTTAACTTTTTAAGAGACAGGGTTTCTCCATTTTGGTCAGGCTGGTCTCGAACTACCTTACCTCAGCTCTTCCTCCCACCTCGGCCTCCCAAAGTGATGGGATTACAGGCGTGAGCCACTGTATCCGGCCTGTAGTTGACATCCTTAGGTTTCCTGTGAATATTAAAGGCCAGTATTGGTGGCAGTGAAGGATTGGAATGGGCAAAGAACTTCCCAGCAGTGTGCAGATCTGCTTTTATAGCACAAAGCTTGGGAGAATAAATATATGCAGGATAACTGAATGCAAGGGACTTGTGGAATGCAGTCCTAGCCTCATAATTGTGTGTTAATTAGGGTAGTAACAGGACAGGTGTTTATGGTTGGTTACACCTACTTATGCTAGATGCATAATGTTTGGTGCCTTCCCTACTGATAAGAAGCAATTTATGATCTGGTGCTAGAAAGTTAATAATGCTTCACAACATCTTTTTGAGAGGTATGATTAGAAAACACACACATAGGCCGGGCGCGGTGGCCCATGCCTGTAATCCCAGCACTTTGGGAGGCCAAGACAGGCACATCACTTGAGGTTGGGAGTTTGAGACCATCCTGGTCAACATGGTGAAACCCCGTCTCTACTAAAAATACAAAACATTAGCTGGGCATGGTGGCACGTGCCTGTAATCCCAGCTACTCAGGAGGTTGAGGCAGAATTGCCTGAACCCAGGATGCGGAGGTTGCGGTGAGCCGAGATCACGCCATTGCACTCCAGCCTGGGTAACAAGAGTGAAACTCCATCTCAAAAAAAAAAAAAAAAAAAGAATTTATTTTCTTTTATATTGACTGGTGGCTTTATGGATAATCAGGTTTGCTAAGACCTTGGTTTTGTTCGGGGCTATTGCTGTCCCTTTTTCCTTTGAAGGAATTTAATTCTCTGAGATGTAGTCTTAATGATATTCTTTTGAGAACAAATTCTTTAAACTACTCTGTCTCTGAAGTGTGTCCCTGTCCTCATACATGGCCCTGAGTTTTGTGATTACAGCTCATCTGAATAATTCTGACAAGTTTGGCTGACGCTCTATGGAGATACATTTGATTTACATGTTTATTTTGAATTTAAGGTCATCATACTATTTTAAAGGAGCTGTTTGCAAGGCCTGGCATGGAATTAAGGATTTTTAAGAAACAAAAGGAGATTTGACTTTCTTGTGTTTATTTACATCTTAAGGTAAAAAGTGGACCGTCTGGAGATAGATTCTCAGAGGAAAAATGGAGCACACCAGCCTCTTTGAGAAATCAATCTTGTTCTTAAGTCACAAGAACTCAAGTGAACTTGTAATTTAAGTTTTGCCCAGAGTGTGATGAACTCTTCCTTTGGTGTTTGAGTAAGCCTTTGAAGACAGTGCTAGTTCGTGGGCAGGTATGAATCAAGTCATATAATTGTCAACCTGTAGTTCAAAAGCAGTACAATCCAGATTGAGCTATAGAAATGTTCTTACTAAAACTTTCAACTGGCAGTGTATGACTTCTGTAGCCAAACTAGTGAGGTAATTTGTGGAGATGCCCATTTCATGAGACCACACTAGAGCTTCTTGAAGTTTCTACTCTGGATCAAAATTCTGCTTCTTGTATAACATGTTCTGAGGCAAAGGCTTGCTTCTGGTTTGGGGTCCTTATGACACCCACAGCAGGTTTATCTCCCTTCGCACCAGCATCTCACTTGCTGCTTTTTCTCTGCACTTTGAGTTGCCAAATCCTGTTGGATTGCTTTTTTGATCTCAATCCCCTAACACCTTTTCTTCCAGAAGAGCTTAAAGCAGCGCCTGGGTAAGAGTAACATCCAGGCACGGTTAGGCCGACCCATAGGGGCCCTGGCCAGGGGAGCAATCGGAGGACGAGGCCTACCCATAATCCAGAGAGGCTTGCCCAGAGGAGGACTACGTGGGGGACGTGCCACCAGAACCCTGCTTAGGGGCGGGATGTCGCTCCGAGGTCAGTGCTGTGTACCCTGACAATTGTCAGGCCCTACTCCCTTCCCTTTTCTCTTGGGCTGCTTATGGACACGTTCGTTTAACATCTTTAAGCCTGAATTTGTATTACTATAATAACTTTTGAAGTCACATATTTTTAATAGTGCTGCATGTCTTTTATCGATACCATTCCTTTTCTGATAATGTGCAATGGTGAGAGGCTATGACCTGAGTAACAACAGGTAATTCATGTCATCTCCATTCCATTTTAAAACACCCTGCTGCTGCTTGAATCAAACCATATTCAAGTTCTAGAAGTAAGTCAAATGTAAGAAACTTAGGTCTTTTGGCCTATGTTCACTCTTTGTTCCTGGTGCTAGTAAAACACTGATACAGCTGGAAAAAGAGGACAAGTTGACCCATAGCACTTACTTATATACGTTTATTTGGGGCACTCTTCTTCTGTTCCCTATATAGTTCTTATTCCCTAGAAGAATGTTGAGATCAGGAACCATAGCATTTATTTTTAAATTTACCACAATGCTAGGCATCTGATTGTTCAGCAGATATTTATTGAATGTATGTACTTCTTAATTGAATTAATTCCCAACTTATTCCAAAAATGGATTTGTGGTCAGACGTGTTGAATTGATTGGATAAAGAGCAGCTTAATCTGTTCACACTCAGTATGCAGCTTACCCCAACCAACCTAAAAACTAACTGAATTACCCTCATTTAACCCTCACCTCCTTCCTTTGGTTAGAATCTACTTTGTGTCTCTTGGATTTACCTGCCTATACATTGTATGCCTCCTCTCCAAGGTCAAAACCTGCTCCGAGGTGGACGAGCCGTAGCTCCCCGAATGGGCTTAAGAAGAGGTGGTGTTCGAGGTCGTGGAGGTCCTGGGAGAGGGGGCCTAGGGCGTGGAGCTATGGGTCGTGGCGGAATCGGTGGTAGAGGTTAGTCAGCTACCAACTTCAGAGAGTAGCTCCCCCTTATTTTCCTCCCTTAAAAACTCAGAGCCACCTTTCTGCACAGCTTCAAGTCATAGGCAGGCTTCTTTGTTTGTCTTGTTTTGTTATTTGAAACTGGCTTATTTTTCAAATTCCCATGCTGGTAGTGCAAAAGTCTCATGATTTTTCCAGGAATCAATCAAGTGCATATTACAGAGCCAGATTATATGCTGTCGTCTTCCGGGTTCTTGCAAATTTAAATTTTACAGTTAAAAATACCCCCTAAAATGGTCAATTTAGGATTTTACCTTCCTCTGTCCCTGCCCCACCACCATCACCACCACACACTACTCTGTAGCTCCAAATCCTGGTTTGAGTCACGTGAGAATATAGAAGAGAGAGAGATACAAAGATGAAGCAGAGTTAAGAGGGTGGTGAGACTTGGAGCTGGACATTGGCTCTGAAACCAAATAAATTCAGTGTCAAATTTGTGCCTGTGGAGAACCAGAGATGACTTTTTTTGCTCAAGGTAGAGAGCAAGATGGAATTATTATCAGTTAACACACTGGCTCTTGTTAATCTTGCCTTTGAAATTTATTGATGTTTGTCTCGTGACCTGGGACCCAGATTAGGATAGAGTTTAATGGTGTTGCTGCTAATACTAAATCTCATGGGAGCCCTCTGGTTTAGAGTTCAGTGGAAAACTCCCAACAACACCTGTCAAGGAAAAAACACTCCTCTTGTTCCTGTGTATATTTGCTTCGGTTCTCTTAAATGGTGTTGGAGATCTTCCATAACTCATGACCTTGAAATTGCCAAGGAATAATAACCATTAGGAAAGAGAAGTCGATAACCAAGGGCTTGTTTTCTTCTCTCCTATTATATGCTACTTGGCTTATTGAATGAAGTACAAGCTAGTTTGGGTTTCAGGATAAAATAGCATGTTTGCTAACTGAATTCAAACTGCTTCTCAGATAACCACAATTGTCAGTTGTCATAAGGTAAATAGAATTAGAGGTAGAAATAGCTGGGGCAACTCAAAATATTTTTTCTTTTTTTTTTTTTTTTCTTTTTTTTTGAGACGGGTTCTCGCTATGTTGCCCAGGCTAGAGTGCAGTGGCTATTCACAGGCGTGATCCCACTACTGCAGAATATTTTTTCAAGTCTCCTACATTGTTCCTGTGTGAGAAAAACTACTCAGTCTCCTGACACATGAGGTCAACTAGCTTATTAGACTTGATAAGTTTAAGGAAAGATGAGATAACTTTCCAGAAGGGTTTCCAATAAACTTAATTTGGAAACCATCTTACCTTTACACCCCTGATTACCTGTACCTTTGTTACCACCTCCCTATCTTACTAAACAGGGTTATCGTGTATTTTAATTATGAACTTAGTGAATCTCAAATGTTAGGTAGTTTTATCTTAAGTTCAGTTAAGGGTTGTTTTGTCTTGTTTTAACTATAGTTGTCAGTGAATTATTTTCCTTTTTTGATAGAATAAAAATTGTTCATTAGAGATGATCATGTGACAAGGGATCCATTATGTGTGCTTTCCATGTGTTGCTTTCTACCCAGTGTGTTTCCTGTTTTTCCAGATTTCTCCTCTTTGCCCTGCCCTTCAGCTTTTCTCAGCTAGGCCCCACTACTCTAAGGGGCATTTACTGTAGCATCTATTAAACTTACTTGTAACTGTCTCTTTTTTTTTCTCCTTTGGGCCAGGTCGGGGTATGATAGGTCGGGGAAGAGGGGGCTTTGGAGGCCGAGGCCGAGGCCGTGGACGAGGGAGAGGTGCCCTTGCTCGCCCTGTATTGACCAAGGAGCAGCTGGACAACCAATTGGATGCATACATGTCGAAAACAAAAGGACACCTGGATGCTGAGTTGGATGCCTACATGGCACAGACAGATCCCGAAACCAATGATTGAAGCCTGCCCACCCTCCCGTGAGAGACTCTTGTTAGTCGACACGTCTGTAAATAACCTTGAAATAACAGATAAGAAATCTGATTGATGCTGGATGGACCTATCACAATAGGCTGTGGACTTACTTGTCACCAGCTTGTGCATTTAGTGTGTTCCTTTTACTTTTTGATACTGTATTGTATGAAGCCCTTTTGTCCTTTGATTTGTTTGGTTTTTTTTTTTTT